AAAAAATATGCAGCTCTGGACACGTCCTGATGTTCATTCTTGTCTCCTTGCAGGTGTCCAGCCGGACAGGTAGGTGCACCCTAAAATAACCTTGATGTGTCATGGCTGGAATTTCCTCAAGAAATTCCTTGGTCGTGAGTAATCTATACAACCCGAGGCTCTAAATCGTTAATCTTCTTTTGTAAGCCTTTTAACAGCTTCAGCCCAACCACTAACCTGCTTCAATGAGCAAATCATCTGTCTTCTTAATGAGACCACTTATTACAAAAGTTAGTACCTAGTAAATTAACAAAACTGTTCTTCAGTATCAGTTGTCCTTCTGAAAACACACCTGCCCCCCTATAATATATCTCTTTCATCTCAAACTGGCTAAGTCACACAATCAATATATTCAAGATGTATGTACTTCTATACTTTTAACCAGTATGTAACTCTAATTAATATATACATTAATCTGTAAAGGGATTACAAAGTGGATTTAGGAAACATTCCTCTCCACACTGATGCATGGAAATACTGGAAGAGCCCCAGCCTAGAATATAGTTTATATAGTTGAATAAAGAAATTCATATTCTTTAGTTCTCTAATGAACACATTAGAGAATCTTACATTTCCTTTGAACATTAGTGTCAACTGGTTCAGTTGATCTGACTATGAAAACGGTACAATAATCTAAAGAATATTCTCTCCATGTTGCTGAGGTGAAAAGCACTTTTATGTTATTGCTAAGACAAGAACACTGTAAACAGCCGTGATTTTCTTAATGAATGCAACGCTTCATTGGAATAATAAGTGGAAACACTGTACAAACAGTATCACATCTGTTACAAAGGTATTATTTAATTGAGTTGTAGTTGCTTAAAAGGAGTTCCAAAAAAATATGGTTTAGTGCAAATATGCCTCAAATGCATCTCAAATGTATGCTTGAGCAAAAAAAAGCTATGACAAATTACTTCAAATGGCTTTACCTACAGACCTTGCTTTCTATATTATAATTAATGTTAACAGTAAGCAAACTTCTCTTTTTATAGCCGAACATTTCAATACAGATTTTTCATCTATTTTCTGTCAAAGCAATTGTTTTAAGGGAATGCAATATTTAAATAACATAAAAATACAAATATTCAGTTTTACATTTCTCTAGGCTTATGAGCGTGATTTGCATGCAATGATAAAATTAGAACTGCAAGCTTGCATGGTTATTTTTACTCTAGCCCACATTTGATACTAAAATAATTTCTCTGCATTTTAGACAACCATTTCATTTTATTTATTTGTCAATACATTGAATCTCATTGTAGGAATGCAACAGCACAGAGAAGCAGCTTATCTGCCTATTTAGAAGCTTATTTACTACTATTTACTATCTACTTACTAGCAAAACCGAAGTTCTAGGAAACCTAACATACATGGCAGGTTCAGTGCCTTAATTAAGAACCTTATCCTAACACATTAGCAAGTGGGAGTGGGGGAAAAAAATCACTATAATTTAGTTTTTGTTTTCCTCTACAAGTCTGTGAGCACCATTACAGTTAGAGCACTTTGCAAACATTACATTCACCAGAGGGGAATCTGGCACTGTGTACTACAGAGGAACACCAATTCCAGTATACCAGTCTAACCTGGTCACAGCAAGCTTGCAGTGCCAAAACCAAATAAGCAGCTCACATATGATAAGAGTTTAAGCACAAAACTTTTTAAGTTGCAGGACTTTTTCAGAACACTTTTATTCAGACCATAAATGTTGAAAATAAACGATAGCATACCAGAAACCTGAAACAAAAGCAGTATGGACTTTCTGACTTGGGTACACAAAGTACGAAGTAAAAACATATGCACGTACAAGATCATTGCATATATACACCCCAATTTTACACCCTCCAGAACACATCCAAACTGAAGGAAACCCTTCTCTTTCCCACCATAGTTCCAAACCGAGCTTTCCTCCAGTGAACCACTCAGCTGCCACATATTTTCCCCTCATCCAGACCATCTGCTTTCTCTGAGAAAAAATAACTGTATTTTGTCTCTTTCTGTAGCAGTGACCCAAACCAACCCATGCTTCACCTGCCCATTGTGGGCCACAGACCTCCAACACCATACCTTGAAGAATACCTTTAGGTACTTTATCTGCCCAAAAACCTCTGAAAGACCAGTCTCTTGTGCATCCACATGTCGTCTACCTTTCCTACGTGAGTCACTAAGTTCTGTCCTCAAACTCAGGTGAAGACGGTGATTATTTATTTGAATGATAGGAGGGCTCATCAGCCCTCCTCACAGCCTAGCTCCTCATTGCGCTCCACGCCTCATTCACTGTACAGGAAAAAAGATACTGGGGTTGTTGGGTACCAAATTCTTCAGTTAGGCTGAGAGCTCTTCCTTCTTCAAAGGAAAGTACAAGAACCAGCGAAGCCCAATCATACCACATTTGTGTTTGCTGTTAATGCTGGAAAACTGTGTGAGGTTGTACTCATCTGAAGAGATGCGCTTTAGAAAAACAGTGGGTAGCACCAGAGGAGTCCCAACTCTGTTTCCCATTAGGCACGTCAGACACAGTATATGTAGAGAGGAATTATGTATATGCACAATTCTAATCTTCCGCTCAAGTTGAGGGTTTTTTTGCGTATTCCTAGAGGAGAACAAACCTGAATGCTGCCCCAAGCAAAAATTCCCCCTTGGGCATCTTCGACAAAACAGCTTTACTTCCAGGGGGGTGACAAAGCCCCCAGGCCCGAACCGCGACACCGCCCCAGCGTGACTGACACACGCAGCCCTGCAAACCAGCAGCATTTCTGCTTTGAGGTGGGCTGCCAGGAGGCCAGCCCGGCTAGCTGGCTCTCCAAGTGGGGGGAGAGGAGCCTGGCAGGGTGTTCAGGCATCTCATTTACAGACTGAACGCTATCCCTTTGAGGATGGCAGATCATCCATGAAAGCACAGTTTGAGCCCCCCCAGGAGGGAGAGCTGGTGAAAGCTTTAGTGCAGGAATACTTAAAGAGAAATAAGGGTCCTGTGGAGAACAGGCAGAGCTGCTCCATTTTCCTGCCTACATCAAGTGCCCATTACCCTGTGTTTCTAAGAAAGTAATGTAAGAGTAAGCCATGCTTTTAAAAATAATAATAATAAAAAAAAGGACAGGCATGCTACACATCATTTTGTAAGGACACCACACCCTGAACATGCTGTTCCTCTGACATTTACGATGAGCACAAGGGACTGGGCAGTAAGCCGATGCCAATGAATCTGCCATCACTTCTGTAGCAGCAGGATGAGATGGGAAGGTCCGAAAGCCCGCATGTGAGCGGTGCTCATTGCAATCCAGCCTGCTGCTTTTCTCCTCGGAGAAGGGAGGGAACAGCCACCGGGAGCAGCTAACTCTGCCCGGCCAGGCAAATCCTGCCACCTGCACACGCACCAGAGCAGCTCTCGGACCATACAGGAGGAAGGGAGGGAGAGGAAGGGATGGAAGCTCACAGCTTCCTGAACGTATGCGACCCACTGCCCCCACCACAGCAAAGCATGGGGTTTTTTTTCCAGTGAAAGTAAATTACCCGAGTCAGCTAAACTGAGAACCCTATGACAGACCTTGCCCATGTTCGACAATGCCTTCTTGGTGACTGTTCCTAGTGCAATCTAGAACTGGTTGAGGGCTTAGCAAATACACCCACACCGAGGAGTGTGAGACTCACTCACATCTGGGCACGGGCTGCCTGGACCGTCGGGCAGAGCCATGTCACCCCCAACCCTACAACAACCAGCAACGTGCAGAACAGGGTGGGGGGAGCACACCATAACCTGTTATTGCCAGCGCTAGCTGTAAGACGCTCCCCACCCAGAAATAAAGGGCACAGGAGGAGTGACCTGGGCTTCTGCAGTCTCTCAGGCGTCATTTCTCTTTCCTGTCCCCTCCTAGGTCTAAAGGCACATCCTTGACGGAGACCAGTAACTGCTGCGTTACAGGGCTCAGCATGGATACGAGCAGCTTGCTGTAGCTGCTGCTAAACTGAAGTCACTCATCTCCTAAATAGCAGCAATTGCTCAGTACCATACTTTTCAAAGGAGAAGAAAAGCTGAGCACTCCTTTCCTTTCCATTTTTGGAACTGTACTGTAATCTGTGCAGCTACAGAGCTGCAGCTGACACAACATCACCCTTCGCAGTGACCAGAGTAAGCAGCAAAAACATCCACTGGATTTTTGGAGTATCAGTCCCGACATTCCCCTCTCCCCCATGCCCACAGCATCTGAAATCTTGCTTCCAAATCCTGAAACACAATTAGAAACCTTCCCTGGCTTAATATCTTCTTTACTTAAGCACCTAAACTTTTAATTGCGCTTTGCTGATACGGTTTAAAGATATATGGAAATTCTGCCAGATGTCCACGGCTAGTGGTTCTGCTGAGAAACAATTCAATCTCAGGGATTTGAGCCTGGCTAATTACCCTCCTCCCTCTTGCACACCTACTGATACAATTACATATTTAACTACACCAGACTAGATCTTATGCACTGCCAAACAAAACAGCATGAAGCTCTGAAATAAGATTTCATCTTTCTCTTTTCCTTTATGCAGCCTGACTTCAGTACGAATAAGCTTGCAGATGAGCTGAAAAGTATTTCTTTTCTAAAGTACATGCCTTTTTTCTACTGTCCAGTGAGCAGAAAATGGAATAAATTATATATACATTATAGCAAGACACATGAGGACTAGGTGGGATTTTTGTTGTTTCTTGCAGTTATTATCTGGGAACCTTTAGATGAATATGCAATCAGAATAGAAATCTTCACCAGGAGAACAAAATTAGGATACATTGTGCTATAAGCAGAGCAGTCAAGTTTTAGTGCATTTTCAATCCAGTTATTAACATCTGAATAAGGGCTTTCAGAAGCAACTAACAGAATGATGCTTTCTGCAGTGTAACTTTTGGTGGAAAACACATTGTTTTTTAAGAAACTGCTGAATTCCCTGCCCAGACCATTCTTTCTAATTCCCACTAAAAAGCTCTAGCCAATGCCTGCATCCAAATATACCGGCAGCAAAGTAATTTTCTTTAGGACAGTTTAAGGTAGGCACTTTAAGCACTCATATACCTTATACATTATTTAAATACACCCTAAAACCCAAATATTTCATAATCACCAACAAGAATTTGGTAGAAAGCACCCTGAAATCATCTGTTATTTCCTATGTGTGTAAGATATTAATAACAGTAACTGACAGTTAATGACAACATAATAATTTAAGTGTGTTGACAACTATCGAACTGAACGCACTTCAGAGAAATGTAAATGCCAGAGGAGAGCAGCTACAGCTCCATGACTAATGTGTGCCCTGGATTCTGACCACCAGCTTTGCTATTTCAGTTTTGTGACCTAAATCTCCCTCCCCTACCAGAAAGAAACAAGCAACCCAAACAAGAAATGTCTTACTTGTTCTGCCTTCTCCAGTGGTTTTCTATCCGCCTGCAAAAACTGGCAGTTTTCTCTCGCCAGCTTCTGGACCAGCTCAATCCGTCCGATGTCATCTCTTCCCTGGAGCTTGCACAGAACCCCTGCCTTAAGGGTGGGAGAAAGAGCAAACAGATACTTAAATCCGCAATCCCAGGACATGACACCGCCACAAATTTCAACCTTAAAAGAAATGCATCTGTTTTCTCATATTTGCAGTACTTCAGTGCCGCTGCCTGAACACAAACGAGTCGCTGCTTCCTGGGAAAAAAATGGAGAGGAGCTGAGGCACATCTGAATCTCCAAATGTATCTACTTTGGAGGAACGAAGGCAGGGCTAACTAAATCAACCGCTCCTCTGAGTGCAACTATCAGATACGCTGTGTTTTATTTGTTCCTGTCAGCCTGTTTCCTGTTACATAAGAGAACAAGAGCAAGAGGTTAAAAACTCATGGGAAAGTTAGCCAGGAACAGCCCTGGAAAAAGAATGAAGCGCAACACAAGGCACTCCTAAAAATAACAGGCTACAACTCCCTCTGCTCCCTCGGCATTTTTCACGTATGCAAGCCTCAAGAGTTAAAAGGCAGTTGCGCCCCATTTATTTATCCTGTAAATAACAAATTTATATCTCCCGATTTTGTTTAGGGAAGAAAATAAGATTTGCTTTAAAAACAATGTTAGAACTATTTTTTTGGCTAAGGTTCTGCCAGTTGTTCAAGCTATGCCGATAGTGTTTCCTCAAAACATTCAGCACTGGTTGTTTTATACAAATGCCACATTTATATAAAGACAGATTCATGCTTGCACACAGGCACACCAGACGCATCACAAAGTTAGCTGATGACGGCTAAATTGCTCCTTGCAAAGTCAGTGGCTAATATCACTGTCCATGACTTGGTCAGGGACAGAGCCTCTGCGTAACCGAGACCTGCCTCAACGATACCACACGTTTATTAGCCCAGATGTTTCCTGATGGGAACAGCACATCCCATGGGAGGGCCAGGCATGTGGCATGCCTGTGGTATTGCTATAGGACTTTAAAAGCAATCTGCAAATAAACCTTTTTCCCCACTTCCTCCACCCTTTTCTTTCTACTAATCTTCCTGAGTTTAATTGAGTCAGTATCTGCTCCAAAATTCACAAAACCTCTTGTGAGTCAGGATGAAAAGCCAGGGATGCCCTGACCACTAACCCATAGTAAAATGCTGGCTCTAACCCTTTGGCCTTGAGAAACTCCTGCCCACGACAGCTGAAGATGTAAAAAGCACTTGCCCAAACCATCCTACAGTCTGCTGGTTTCTCCAAGGAAGAAGGAAATGTGGGTTAAGGTTTCTTCAGCTGAGGAGGAAAATAAATCCACTTTCTGAATAAGTGCTTTAATGCTGATGGAAAAAAATAGGTCCAACAACCACATCCTTACATCATTCTTACTGAATTATTTGAAAGAAATTTTTATATCCCTACATTCCTCCAGCCTGGATGAAGGCATCTCCTCACAGGCCTGCATCAAGCACTTGTGTTCTGGAGAAAGGAAGAATTTTAGATACAGCCTGTGCTTTGCATGTCCTGCGCTTAGACCCCAGCCTCCTGAGGAACCCAGCTTTCCCAGAGAAGGAACCTCCGCACTGGTTTCAAGGTCAGTAATCCACCAAGAAAATAAGAAACTGCAGCACCTCATCTGAAGGTCCTTACATTTTCTATGAGATTAGCTCCTTATCTTCTAAATCCAGGACATGGATTTATAAACCAGTTCTGACACACCATTATCACCTGCAGATCAGGAGCGAGACTGATTTTATCAAATGTGGAAGAATATACTGAACCAGTTGTCCAGACTCATTTAATCAATAGAGAAAAAGAGATACTTGAGACAATTTTTTTTTACTTGACAGTAGACATTTAAAAATGGTCAGATGAGTTGTTTCCTAAAATTCTCCCTTTTTTCCAGTAATTTCCACAGGGAACCTAGGCAATCATCACAGATTTGGCTGAGGTCTGACATCTGCACTTCACAACACTGTGATGGCTTGGGGACATCAACTAGAGCCAAACCTGCTTATTTCATGGCTTCAGGATGCTTCTGGCAGAGAGTATAACATCTGTGCACTGTAATCCCCCCAGGCTTGTAGGCTAAGGACAACTCAAAGTGTTATAGCCTATTATAGCTTTGATACTATAAAGATTTACAGTCTCCCTGGATCTGGGATCTTAGTACTGTGGAGCCACTTTTCACACCTTCAAGTTGCACCCAGACAAGTCAGACCATGACCTACGAGTGGCATAGACGGTTATGCGTCCCTGTTTTTCAAACATCAGATGGACATCAACAGAAATGCAGTGTTCACTCTGCTGAACAAATACTTATTGATCCTCAGCGTACAAAGTAAAGCCCAATGCTTAAAACCACTTACGTTAAGATGAGGAAGGGGGACTTCAGCTTTGGGGTAACAGCTGGCTTCAGTATGTTCAAGTGGAAGAGACATCCCAGAGAAAGACAACTTTTTGAACACATGGGCCTTGCTCTCTTTCACCCGTTGCCCTCTGTCTGCGTTCAGACAGAGCGCATTATTGCTTTCTGCACGGATGAGCACCCCAGGGAAGAAGTAAGTCCAGATACAAGCGCATTAGCCCTGCCACGAATGTGGTCTGTATTCAAATTGGCAGTTTCATTAAAGAATCGTATTGTCCTGTTTCAAATAACCACCAAGACAAAAATCTTACTTTTTAACATGTTCCCTTTCTCCCCAACTCTTCTTTAACTTAAAGAATTGCAGAGAACGTGAAAAAAGTATTTATTTTATTGGGTTTACAGAGGATAAAATGTCAACTAAAAAATTTATGGGAGGGCTAAGTTATTATTAAGTTAATTGTACATGCTTGGCTCTGGGAGTAAAGAATGCACTTGAAATACAAAAGGCTAAACATGCTTTTTCGTAATTAAGAAGAAAAAATATGAATCACTCACCTTTAATTCTGATTTCCTCAATTATGCTGACTTTCCACTATAAATCTTTCTGCTAAATACTTACCAGAAAGCATCCAGGTCAACTAATTAATTAATTGATGACTGCTTCTAAAAGCTGGTTGGGAAGATGTTGCTAGAGCTTCATATTACTGGTCATTTTCACTTGTCAATATAAATTTAATTTGCAAGCAATACCTTTGAAGCCGTTAGACAAAAGGGTAAAGGCAAGTCGTCCTACTTGCAAAGTGCAATTTTGATTTGTATTTTGTGCAGGCACACACCCTCCAAAATCCTGCGTGCCCAAATGTTTGTGCTTAGTCCTCTAATTCATGTACACCAACAGAGATACAAGTACTAACTTATGTGAAGGTGAAAATCACCAAGTTGCATATTTTAACTGGCTTTAATTTAATGAATGATAAAAGAACGTAGGAGCTTTATGGTAAAGCTTTACTACCATTCACGGCCCAAAATTACTATAATTAAAGGTGTTTATGCAATATTTGAAATGAAATAAAAAAGTTTAATGGGAAGGAAAGTAAATTAGTCACTACTGAGGCTGGAAAAGCAAAGACGCTGACAACACATTTTCTGTTTCAGCACACCCATTGGAAAATACTCCCTCTGCAAAGGCCATAAATGAATATGCTAGCAGTGACACGGTGGTGAATTAAGACATCCCTAGGCAGACAGGATGGGATTTTTTTATTCACTTTATTTACACCGATTACAGCATGCCCACTTTTAAAAATCCCTGTACTGAATTTTATGCCCACTTCTACCAGTTTTGTCAACTAAATCCAATATAAGTCAGGCCTCTGGCCCGCAGAGCGGTGTTTAGAGCAGGCACCACACCCTTCAACTCTGCTAACAGAAGAGGTTTGTGGTGGTTTGGTTTTTTCCTACTGCACCTCTGTCTCCTTCTGTGTCTGGTGAAGACAACATAATTATTACAGGCTTCATCTTTGAGCAACCTGAAAACTTCAAACCATATGCCACTGCCTCAAAAGATTATTTGCTTTGCTCCAGTCACATGCACAGCCTCACTAAAGGCAAAAAAAAAAAAAAATCCTTCACACCCTTAAATCAAACTGTATTTGGTGTTTATAGGATGGTGTCTTTATGGCACTGACAAACAATTTGGAGCAACAGCTGCTTTGATAACCCTCCTGATCTCCTCCCAGTTGGGCACTTGAACGCTTTTCTTAACTGCTCACTTAATATTTGTTTGATCTTAAATGTGTTTCAAATTCTTTAAAATTTTAGAAGCTGATTTCCAGCCAAATAAAAGCTGAGCAAATCAATATCCCAATAATAAATTCTTACCGGTGTTTATAATCTGTCCGTGTAATCTTACTAGCTGTAAGATGTAATCTTAGGAGCTTTGAGCATGCATGTCATCGTCTTTCTTTTTACATCTCTGACATAAATGTGAACAAACATTTTCAAAAAATAACAACTACAACAATCAAGTAGAACTGAGCATATATGAAACCTGAAAAAGAAAACAGAAAGCCAGATTTCTTGTGCAGTGGGGGCCGTATTTCCCCCTGGGTCTTTTCTATAGCTCTGTAATGCACAGCTGAGCTCTAGAAGACTGATCCTCAACTCCACACTGATGTGAATTATGAATCAAAGTCCGGTAACAGAATTTTCACACATTAGGGCTCCTACTACACTTTGGGGTTTTTTAAATAGATTTGAAACTGTATGCAATTAAGAAAAGAGCAGGCCATTTCCAAACATCTTGCTTGAGCATGACTCTGAAGAGTATGCTAGAAAAGCCCAGTTACAGACTGACGGAGTAGGTGTATCTGCATCGTCCCCAAATCTGCCTGCACTCTCCAGGTGTCTGCCATGGCCCAGGTCTGCTACAGCCTCTCCTGGGCTCACTGTGGTCCAGACAGCCCCCACTTTTAGAAAGATACAGGTACTGCTGACTTGGCTACATGGCTTGTCCCCCTTCAGCTCGACTTGCTCTGAGACATCAGTGCAAACCCTGCCTTGCTCACACACAGCTTTTTAGAGGGCAAGGTGTTAGGAGATCAATCAGAGACATGAACTGCGAGTTGCATATATAGGAAGGAGAAAAGGTGGCAACTGGTGGGGAACGTAAGATTTGCAAGGGGAATATAAAAAAAGAACAGTCAAGACTGGGAGAAAGCAATTTTAAATTAAAAGCAATAATCAGTACCAATACAATGAGCAATATAGTTACACTTGCACAGTTTGAATGCATGAACTGAATGATTGAATGAACTGGAGATTAATCAAAAAAGATTCACAGCATTAAAAAGGGTAAGCAATTCCACAATAAAATATTCTAAAAGGCAGTTAAGTTTCTTCTGAGCAATACGTAGAAGTATGCTTTGGTTGTAAATAAGGGCATTTAGGGAAGGAAAGAAAAAGCTTGTTGCTTACACTCGAGTGACTAATAACTATCCTCATTTCATTGCATGTCTGCTTACAGTGATTAAAATTCAATCAAAATGCCACATGCCCTTGCCTCCTAAAACACATCTCATTTTATTTTCACATCTGGTATATGCTATGTGTATTATCTGAAAAGAGCAGAGAGATAGTTGAAGAATGCTGTCCGATTGCTACATCATGGGATTAATTCCCAGAGTAATCATCAATCTTATTCTAAATAGTTACATAAGACAAGATCCAGCAGACTTTCTCCTTCCTACGGGCTCCCTGTGCAGAACATCAAGGAAAATCCATTTCCCAGAGCTATTGAAAGCAGATCCTTCAACTTGTAGATCTGAAAAAGTTCCCAAGACACCATTAATCTTACACATTTACCTGAGCAGCAGAGGTATCCTTGAGCTCTTCTAGTCCTCTTATTTCTTGACTGCTGTTTTCTTCATTTTGATGAATTGCTAAAATAAGAAAGAGGGAATATATTGGAAGCAGGCATGTTTAAATCACAAGAAGCAGCAAAGCAGCATAGCCCTGGTTAGATCAAATAGGATGACCATTCAAGAAACTAGAAAGCTAAACGTGGAACGAGGTTAACTCCTTGAGTGGTTTTGGACAAATCCTGTAAGGTAAACCTTAATGGGTTTGGACAAATCCTAAATAAGGTATACCTTATTTTTCCCAGGCATTAAAAAGCAGTACTAAATAGTTATATTACTGCTACTGTTAGTCCTGATAAAATGGTGACATTTAAGGAAATTCCACTTTTCCATACATTATAACAAGACCTGGTGACTCATAAAGAACAAAAAAATTAGACCTCCCTTTACTTTCATTATATTGCAGAAGGTCAATTCAGACTAAACAAAATAAGCAGATTTATCCCTCACCTCAGACTTGGAAAATTCTTTTTAAGCAAAGTGATCTCAATCTTAACAAACACCACCACTATCCATGAAAGTCATCTTCAGAAATAAAGGGTAGCAGAAGACGTTCCGTTGAAAGTTATTTGCTGCTGCCACGATAAGAGAAACCAGTAGCTTAGCTCAATTAACATTGCTTAACACCAGCAATTTTTGCCAGACTTTAAAGAAAAAAGTTTTTGGATCAAACTTGTAATCTCCAGAAGGTTCAAAACCTCATTTTTTATCAGTTTACCTAGCTAAAGAAACAAGGACCACTTTTGAAGGCACACATCAGACTTCTGTATTGCAAACAGCTACACCTATAGGTAGTTTTACTATCTTTAGCCCAAGATACCCTTCCCATCAACACACCCACCTGCTGTATTTTGGTGGGACACTAAGCCCTCTGACATTCTGAAACGTGACACATGGCAGGTTAGGAGGGTCAAACCCAGTGAAACACATGCAAAGTGACTTTACTTTATACTGTACTCATTTACTTACAAGGACCATACTCAAATATCATTGACCTTGTGTACACATTGAATGATTTGCCAGTGTAGCCATAGCAGTTGTGACAACAAAAGCGTCCTTGAAGCGGTAGAGTTGGCAAATCCATTTCCTGAATAACGCCAGGCTCATGGCTGTGATGGATGGGCAGGAGGGTTCCGCTTGTGTGCTTCCTCCTGTCCACCTCCTCTCTCCTTCAGCCTGGGTACCTCAGCTGGTCATCAGGCTGCATCCAAACAGCCACAGCACGGCGTTTTCAGACAAGGATCACCAGTCCTGTTTTGCCTTAAAACTATGCCTGTGAGCTGAGGCAACCCAGGATTTGATTGATGAAAAAATCAGCTGTTGAGGGAGCAGAAGAAGGGCTGATAGGTAGCAGTACTACCGTCACCAGCCACCCTCACCTGGACTCTTCTCAACCCTCAGCACGAATCTTTAGTCATACAGCCAGGTTACCATGGCTGAGTTAATACACATAATTTGAGCCATGAGGTCTAGCTTGGTGTGTCTATGTGCGTGGGTGCTCTGGGTCTGCTGCAGACAAAAAGCAGCCTAACCTTTAGGCAGCATCCAGCAGCTTAAAAGAAAAGTAACTTTAGACGGTTCTTCACCTCTAAAATAAAGAATATAGCCTTATTTTCTTTTTACTGCAGGATTTCTGCTGATATTGCTATGCCATATAGGGTATAATTCTTCTTTCTTCCCCCACAGTTATGCTATCCAGAAAAAGAAGGAAAAAATAGGTAATAAAAATGTAATAATAAAAGGGGGGGGAAAAAAGTAATTTTTTCAATACAGTTTATTCCACCCAGGGATCTTTTTTAATCCATTATCAAAGGAAAACAGAGGTCTGGCATAAATCTTCACTAGTGGGTTTGCTGGCATCACTTTACCAGCCAACCTTTGAAATTCAAGGTGAATGCTGAAAACACAGGGTCAGTCTAAGCCATAACAGAGAGCGTGTATAACGGGGGTTATATCCCAGCAGCACTTAAAGCTTGGCAAAACCAAAATGTGCTTGGGACGTTGTGGCATATTTCTGCCCCAGGTTGGAAAAGTAACAACCCAATGAAGCAGTCACCAACTTGATTGCCCAATAGCCCCACGTGGCCCCTGCTTTCCTAGGGCAGGTCAGGGCTTCCCAAGGCAACCTGCTCCATCCAGCCAGGCTGGGGGTTCTCTGCACCCCTTTCCCTTGTAACCCACCTCCCAGCCTTCCTTCCCAAGAGCTGCATCCTCCTCTTGCACCCCCCAGCACGTGCATGACTCTCACTGCTGCCGAGGGAGACACAGAGCATTCAGGACACTCATTGGCCAAACGCTAGTCAGAACAACCGGCATGAGACGGGAACGTTGCAATGCCAGAAGGCATTAACGAATGGTAAAAAATGATCATTTAAGCAATGGTGAATTGCTTAAGTCTGTGGCTGCGTTAGCAGAAACACAACATTTCCCCAACTCTCCTTTCAATTTTCTGATTTCTCCTAAAATCAATTTGCTGTAGCCACTGATGGGCAAAATATCCCCACAGACGCTGGCTATTAATCACGGTATTTAAAGGAGTGGCACCTTGCTAGTAACAAGACCACGGGTCCAGGTTTAAGTGATTTACATTGATCCAGCCAGCTTTTCCGACAAGCCTGAGCAGATGGGCGCTCCGCAAACAGCTGCGCCAGGGGAAAAGGTTAGTGGCTGCCAACCGTCTTCTTGTCACCGGCCTCTGTTACAAGTGTCCCCTTCCCTGCCCAGTGCCAGGGCAAACACCCCAGAGCATCTTCAACCAAAGCAAACAGGCGGACCCTTCAAGGAGCAGCACGCTGTTGCTAACCTGGCTGGGATGGCAGATTAGTGGCCGGGGAGCTAGTGACAAGCAGCAAACACCCACAGCTGAGGGCAGTAATATCTTTTACCTGGCACAAAAGGAAAGAGAAAGAGGGTAGGTGTCCACAACCCCAATGGATACAGGCATCCTCGGGTTTTGAACAGTTTTGGCATGAGCAACTTTAAAGATGATGAGAAAATTACCTCGGTTTAGATGTACCCTAAACCCTTTGGCCTTGAGAAAAAAAAAAAGAAAGAAAGAAAGAAAGAAGCAAAGAAAGAAAGAAGCTGTTTTTATCAGCAGTTTCACAGCTCAACTCTAAAAAAGCTAAAAAAGTTCATAATCCAAACCCAGCTCTCCTTGGCTTCAATGTTGTTTAGACTGTGTAAGGAATGTAGAAAAGAACCAGTAAATATTTTCTTAAAGGAAAAGAAAAAAATCCCAGACCTCACACTGACGTTCTCGCAACCCTCTTGGGAGAGAGGGAACAGTAGGCCTCTATTTCATGAAATTTCCATCACAAACTTGATTTTTGTGTCTTCTCTGCCTCTTATCCAAACCCATAAGAACCAGCCACAATTGAAGCATTTAACTACACACAGGAAGCAATACTCAAAGAATCACACCATCTCATACATTTTTTTCCATCACAAGAACGTAGTCCCTTGAAGGCTGAAGTGGCCACACGGACTAATAAGAACCCTTAAGTATATTTTCTTGGTTTCTGTATGAAAAGGTTGCTATGTGTTTTGTCTATAAAATACAGAAAAAACACAAATTTCTTAAAATATTCCAGTGTTTTCAGAAATTTATGTTTCTGGGGATCATGACCCACAGTTAAGAAACCAATTGCTGTATTTTTATACACACTGTGCCTCCTAACCCTGTAACAACTCACAGACACCCCTTGAATTGGGCAACGTGCTGCCCTCGTGGGCTCTTGTGAATGCAATACAAGTTCTGTCATAAAATATAAGAATTCAAGGATAATTTCCCACTTACTGTCAGTTGGCCATTTATTTTTTTAAAAAAAGGCTTGACATTGCAAATTCAACCATAGGAAAAGTAAGCGGAAGGTTAGGGTGGGATGGGAAAGTATTTGCCAGGCAAGTGTTGATTCTGGGACAGTTCCCTAAAACTGTAGCATGTACATACAAAAAAGTTGTGAACTTTGGAGCTGGGCCAAACCCGTCCTTCTCTGCCAGCATAAACCCAGCTTTGCTCCCTGATACAAATACCCCAGCACGACTTACAAAGCAGCAACACCAGGGAAAGGCAAACATGGCTTACCCTGATCTATATGTATCTATTTAATGTTATTTTGGGGTTCAGGCTTGAGACCACAGACAGGAAAAAAAACGCAAGCAAACATAGAGTGACCAATTCCTTTTCCAACCTGCAGCATTTCTCCTTCTTTGGAGGAGAGATCATGAATGAAAGAAAAAGATGTTAAATGACTATTAGCTTGCTAATGTGCAGTTCAGATGTGTCCATTTGCAGATAAGCCTAGAGAATCCAGGATGTTGATTTTTTTATGGTCACATAAGGATCACAAGGGCCATCATCTGATCCTTGTGCCCTCACAGACCAGAGCTGAGATTCTCCTAGCAGATTCTTCTATAAACTAATCTTGGAACAGAGAATTCTTGTGCGGGAGAGCCTTGTCCTTTGGTAATCCCATTTCAGCTCATTAAATCAGCAGAAAAAATAACAAAGAAATAAGAAACAAAAGTAAATCATTTTGTACTAGCTGCCTCAGCAGAATCAGCAATCACACGGGGGTGTGAAGGGGAAGGGAATGTAACCATCGCTCACACTGGAACAAAGCACGTCCTTTGGGTCACCATTACTGACCGAGAGTGCTCCTCTGCTTTTACTGCCATGCTACTAAGTTTAATATAGATTTAAGACATTGGAAGGGATTTGTCTTCCTCAGCAACACAAAGCATTACACGTATGATAATGGGCTCACCTTAGTTAGGCAGACTGGCATGCAGTGAGGGTCATGCCAACCACTTGCACCACTACGAACCTTCTCCTGCCTATGGAAGAATCCTGCCAAGGGTGCTGGAGTTACCCCCAGAGCAGTGTCTCCACCATACACTGTTCTGTATGCCCCCAAACTTGAAGCTAAATTAATTACATTTGATGAGTAAGATTTTTAAAAGTCACATAATACAAGGCACATTATTTCATTTTAATACGTTGTCTATTCAACAAAGCA